CTGAATATTCAAGTCAAACCTTACACACTGGAAATGCTTCATAGAAATGATCCAGCAAATCACTTTCAATGGCACATCTCATACATTCACTGTCCATTCACAGCCAGTGCAAAGAGGAGAAAGAAGGATTGCCTTTCTCTCGTACTCTGTACGTTTTCTGACCCTGTTTTACCATCTTTCCTCTAAGTAAGACCTGGATTAAGTAGACCATGACCATATATTGTGATTTCCACCTCTATGTTATCGCGTCATTTTCCCAGCGGCAACCCTGCCCATTCCTGTGTTTCTTGACTTGCGTGCCACTGTCGCTCCTCCAGGACAGCAGCTGCGCCGAGGGATGCCTTTCTGTGGTTGGCATCTGGAGGCACTGTCATACACAGCTAATGGGAACTCTCCCAGCACCTTCTGGGGGCAAAGGCACCCACCTAGCTCTGTTATTCACAGCAATGTTTCCTCCTCTGGCCATTAAAGCTTGGGAAAGGCACAATGACAGCGGTATAGCTGGGAATAGGATCCACTCTGGTGATGCTGGGGTTCATTTGGACCTTTAAGATGTGATTGCAGAGTTCTGTCACCAAAGTATTGCAAAATATTGAGTTATCTTGTATGGTGGTGTGAAAATTTGGCTTAGGTGTTGTAACAGTGACTTTAAGACGGACCTGCAGTGTCCATGTGATCTCTCACTCTGTGTACTAAGGTGTCTCCTCCCGTTGGAGGGAGGTTGAACATGTCCTGCAGGTCCGAGTTCAAGCTGTTCTTGGAGCATGTGAGCAGAAATCTCCTCTCCCTGTTTCTGCTGCATGTGCTGTTCCTAGAACATTTCCATGATTTACTTTTAGTTGGTTGTTCCCAATGGTTATTTTAATGGTAAGACTGCAGCTACATAATTTGAATAAGCTTTTCTAAGAGCAGCACCATAAAAGGTGAGATCAGCTGGAACAAATGGTCTAGAAAAGTGTCAGTTTGGGTATTTGGAAGTGGGTTTCCATGGGTATCTGGGGGTGAAGGGACCAGGGAAAAGGCAGAAGAATGAGCTTGAGATCAGCTTCACAGGAGTTGTGACACATCGCAAGGGCTGTGTTACAGAACTGTGCTGACGTGATGGCTCCTTGGAGAGTTGGAAGCACCTAAGGGAGAAGGGACAGACCAGGACCGGTGGCTTCAGGACTCTTTTGCCCCTGAAATTTCTCTGTGCAGTGCTGGGTGGAGAGACAGGAACCAGTGGGTGTGGGTGAGTGAAGGCTTGTGTTTGGAGGTTTGTGGACAGGAGAGCTTGGAGCATAAAATGCTGGCACCATCTCCAGGAGGCACCCATTGCTTTTGGCCACCAGGAGCAAAGTATCTGCTGCTGGGGCAAGAGGGCAGCAGGAGGGACTTTCCCCCCGCCATGAAAATCCCTCTCACCCTGCCATCCTCTGGCAGGATGTTCCTCCTACAAGCATGAAAACGATGCCTAGAAACAAGCTGCAGGATCTTACTGCTGGGTAGTGGAGTGGTGGTGGTGGAGAAGGGACTCGGAGGTTGCCAAGAGTCTCCTTGTTTATTGCTGAAGGTCCAACAGCTCCCTCGCTCAGACACACTCTCCTTGTTAACAAAAAGGCGATGAATGATTTAGCAGCTGAAAATGCCAGATGGCGATGACTCTGCTGCTTGCAGAAGGAGGGGAGGGAGATGTGCACATGGGGAGAACAGATTGAGAGCAGCTCCATAGGAAAGGGCTGACCCCAGTCAGAGGTCCCAGTGGCCCAGGTGGTTACATGGCAAACAGGAGTCAGGCAGGCCAGGGCAAACAGCTGCTGCTTGCCAGAGTGGCCCACTCAATTCTTACGGGTCTCTCCCCGTTGGAGTTCCCACTTCAGGGGTTGTTATCCCTGTGGGACTATGTTGGGCCTTTAATTTTGGGACTCCTAACCCTGGTTGGGAGGCAGGCCATGACTGGGCACTACAGGGAGACTTTGCCAGCCCATCCCTGCCTTCACATCTAGCTGCAGGGATGGTGCATCAGCCCCAGGTCACCTGGGATGCTCTTTGGAGCAGTATCAACAAATACCAGGTGACCTGGCAGTTCTTTTGGGGCCACACTAATGGTCAGCTGTCCAAGCTGGGGCTGTGATGTCTCCAGACACCATGGTCCGGCCAGATCAACATGTATATTGCTAGGGACCTCCAAGGAGAACTAAGATGCTGTAAGCAGCATGGACAGATCTGTAGCAGATACTGCAGCCCATGCCCCAGGTGACACTGCACCATACGCACAGTGAGAGGGACTGCCTTGGGTCTGTGTGTCCTGAGGCTCTTGATGGCTGTCGTTCAGTGGCTTCTGACATCCCTTCAATGCATCTATGCAGGTAGCCGGATGCCATCCTAACCCTGGAGGGATCCCCTAAGTGGGATCAGGTTCTGCTGGGCTCATAGCCTTGATCCAAGCATTCCAGCCACTTCTGTGGCTTCCAGTGGAGATTTTTCTTTGGGCTGGAGTTTATGCTTCAGAAATTAAAAAAGTAGCAACTCACCATCTCTCTTGTTTCATTTGGAAACTGCAGTCACCAAGAGTAGTTCTTAAGTTCTTCAACCCTCTTGAGAGCTTGGGTTGACAATCCCTTGGGAATCCCTGATGTCCACGTGATTGCATCTGTCAGGCTGTCAGAGCCTTTTTTTTGGTCAACTCTGTGTTTGAAACCTTCCTTTTCCTCAGTCTTTCCCTTGAGGAGGAGATTGAAGACAGTCTTTGTCTCAGGGGTGTAACCTGTGTCAGCTCCTGCCCCCTCAACCATCTCCTGCCCACTCTGCTCTGCCGTGGGGTGAGGGTATCTGGCATCTTCAGGAACTTTAGGACAGGACTAATCTCCTCAAGCAGGAAGCTGCACGGTCTAAGAGAGAGGCTGAGGCCACAGCAGTGCACATAAACCCACGTGCTACTGTAGTCTCCCATCTGTCACTCTGACGCAGCAGAAGTAAATGTTTCCCCACAAAAGCAAATCCGTGTAGAGCTCCGGAAGATCCCCTTTCTAAGCCAAGGCAATTTGTGTGTGCTCTCTCTGTGCTACCCAGGGACCTCTCATTCAGGTTTCTTTCGGTGTTGAAGAAGAGTTGATCCTGTTTGGTCTTGAGAAAAACTGCCATAAACACTTTGCATCTCCAGGTCCCTGGAGGTGCTGGCTGTCTTCATTTGCATCCTCCTCCACTGCTTAAACATACTGTGGCCCCTGCTGTTCTTCCTCCAACCTATCCATGTGGGCTGTGAGCATCCTGCAGCAGGGATCAGCTGTCGCTGGGTGACTGCAGGGACTGCAGCAGGGTCACAGTTATGGCTGGAATACAGATCAAAAGGAGGGAGAGGAAGGAATACCCAGTAGCTTGAATACACGTTAATAAGCACACTGAGGTTTCTCGTGGCCTTTGCACTGACTACAATATACTGGTCACAATATACTATGGTCAGCACGTCTGCAGAGCAAGGCACTCACAGAACTCCTTACAAACTTCAGGCAGGCCAGAGAATGTCCTTGCCGGGAGCACAAGTCCCTGAGACTAGGAATGCAGAATAACCGCGGATGGAAGGGCCCCTTGGAGTCCATCTGATAAAAGCCCTTGCTCAGGACCAGGCCAACTTCAAAATTATATTTGGTTGCTCAAGGACACCAAGGACAATGCTTCTTTGTCTATCTGTTCCCCACACCCTGGTAATCTCAGACTTCCCCTAAGCAGGGTCTTCAGCCTCTGGGTTTATCTCCCAAAAAAGTGAGACATCCTAACTCAGGGCCTTTTCGGAAGTGACATTAGGGATCCAACATGGTTGCCATTTTGAAACTCCCCCCACAACCTATTAATGGACTGTCGTGAGACCACCCTGAAGAGCCCCCGGTGCCCCACGATGCCTCTCACCCTGGCAATGTGGTTGGTCTCACCAGTCACAGCTGTCCTCCCCTGAAGGCCACACAGCTCTCCAGGCATCAGGAGCAGCTGGATGGAGGTGCTGGTGGGGGCTCTGAGGCATGGAGACATGGCAGGCACACAAAGAGGAGATTCTGTCCCTGTTGTCCCCTCCCCGCGTCTGTCAGCATTTGCTGTGCTGGTTCCCTCTCCTGTCTTTCTGGTGAGTGTAGAGGCCCTTCAGCATCGTCTTGGCACAAGGTCTGTGGTATCTCCATGAGAAACAGCCGTGCTGGCTGCTGTGGAGTGCTTGTTCTCAGGTCTCTCAGGTACTGCAACTTTGGAGCAGATCCTCTCCGACCTAAAGCATGGAAACAAGCCACAGTCTTGGCCATTAATGGCCTTCAAGTGTTTCCTGCCAGTGAGGACTGTAGCCTGTGGTATCAGCTCCTGGGGAAGTGTAAGGAAGCCTGGCATTTAGGGTTTGAGAAACTGAGTCTTCTAATGACATCAAAATATTTTGGAAGGAGCAATTCTGCCCTGGTGAAAAGATGGAAGGGAGGTCCCACAACTCCTGAGTCACACAGATCGTGATGCTGGAGAAGAGGAGAGGGCTTAGGGATGTTCCACATGCAGTAGATATCTGGCTGTGTGGAGCAAAGCAAGCATAGACCCAGCAGCCCAACTGTTAACACCGTCATTGCTCTTGTCCTCAGAAACTCAAGCAGGTGCTTTGGCTCCTTGTTCCTGCCTGCTGACCGCACCAGGGTGGCCATGACTCAACTCCACTTCCAGGACTGAGGGGCAGAGGTGGTGAGAGACCTGTCTCAGGTATGACAGAGACAACCAAATAGCATGGGGTTTAATGGTGCGGGGAAAATGTACGAGGTAGCTGTGAGATTTCTTCAGCAGCACACCCTACCCTGTGTCCCACAGCCCCTCCCTTGGAGAGACAGAGACAGGGGATGCTCCAAGGTCACCAGGCAGTCCTCTCCCCTCCCTGCCCTTAGTGAGCTCCTCAGACCACGTGGGAGAACCTGGAAGAGCCGCTGCCGCTTGTCAAGCAAAGGCTCCTCCGTCTGCACCCCTGCCCCTGTGTTGCAGGGTGAGGCCCCCCAACAGCACGGATGGAGAGCATGTACCCGGTGGAGCCAGCACCTGATGGTGCCAGCCCCACCTCGCTGGATGTGCTCAGCTTCCTGGACTCCCTGGTGAACAGCACAGAGGAGCAGTGCTTCAGTGCCCGCTCCCGCAGCACCGTCCTGGAGGGGCTGCCCTTCGGCGGCGTGCCCACCGTGCTTGCTATCAACTTCATCCTCTGGCTGGTGAGCGTGCCGGGAGGGTGCCGTGCCCATGGGCGCCGCAGCTCCCGCTGTGGAGTCAGAGACTGGCTGGGAGTGTGGGTGGGTGTGTTATGGGTGTGCTGACAGCCACACGCGAGTGTAGCCTACGCACCGGTGCACCTGGATGGCTGGGGGAATGGGGGTGGGTGCAGAGGACCAAGAACTTTGCCCACATCATGGTGGGCAGCAGGAAGGAGATCATAGAGCAGGAGCAGCTGGGCTTGAGGCAAGAGTTTTGCACGAGCTTGGGCTCATGAGTGAGGAAGCGGAAAGGAGCAACATGAGGAGACCCCATGGAGTGAGACCCTGCAGTGAAACCTTTCACCTCTTCCCTCTTCTTTCAGCTTCTTCTCCTGGTCTTCTCCTGCCTTCGGAAAGCAGCTTGGGACTACGGGCGCCTGGCGCTGCTGATGGACAATGATAGGTGAGGAGGATGTGAGTCCGCTGCATGTGATGGTTCCAGCCTATCCAAGAGGGCTGGCAGGAGGGCTGGCACTGCAGGGTATCCCACAGAGGGGTTCAGTGGGTGTTCCTGTCCCTCCTTCCCACTGGGAATGGCCTGGCTGCCCTTGCCCATGGGAGCACAGGATGCTGCAGGGAAAGGGAAAGTCTGGAACAGCTTTCATTCCCTCTTTCAAGCACTGTCTGGTTACAGTGCTCTCCCTGCCAGGGAAGGCAGGGACTGAGCTGCTGCCTCTCCTTCTCCCCCTGCTGCTCTCTTGGGATGAGCAGGACTGGCTGTTGGAGGAGGCAGAGGGAGATGTCCAGCAATAACACTGTTCCTCATGTCACCAAGGCGGCCTGTCTGTCTTATCCTTCAGGCTAGGTGCAGAAACCCACAGGAAATGCCAGTGCCCTGGTGAAAGTAGAGACCAAATCAGATTTCCAGGCAGGCGGTGCTGCCCACAGCTGCCTGCCTGACAGAGCACAGCTTGCCCTGGGCAGCAAAGCATCTTTCTTGGCACAGGCAGGTGCACACAGGATGGGTCTCTGCAAGGCTGGGCAGCCTGCAGAATCAAAGTCTGTAAAAGGCCTTCTCCTGCCTTCTCCCCTCTCCAGCTCCTCTTGGCCTGAGGCTCTGGAGCTGAGACTGGCAATGGACAGGTGATATTTCCCTTCACCAGGGTGATCAAAGGGTAAATCAAGACTTAAAATGCAAGCTCTGACTACATTCCTTTTTACTGTAATACATTTGAGAGGGCAGAAACCAG